GGACAATGACTAGCGATGATAGAAGGAGAATTGATACCTTTGAACTGCAGTGTTGGAGAAGAGTACTGAATACACCATGCACTGCTAGGAGAACAAACAGATATGTCCTGGAGAGGGTACAGACTGAGTGCTCTTTGGAGGAAAGAAGGATGAGACAAAACTTACTTTGGATATGTTGCAAAGAGGGGCTATTCCTTGGGGAGGGACATGATACTAGAAAGGGTGGAGGGTCAGTGAAGCAAAGGGAGACCTTTGACCGGGTGAATTAGCACAATGACTGCCACTGTGGGGTCTAGTGTGTCAGGAAGTGTGAAGATGGCACAGGATAGAACAAGTTTCAGATATTCTGTTCATAGGGTCGCTATGAGTCATATTCAACTAGATGGAGTCTAATAACAACAACATATTAGATCTTTTGTGTGTCTAGTTAGGTTTAGTCTGGATTATTTTTTTTTTATTGACTATTGTAAATGATACTTTCTTTGCAACTGTAGAGAAGTCTGGTCTTCCAGGTCTGAGAGCTTTTTTGTTGAGTCTTTGGGGTTTTCTATGTGCACTTTTAAGTGAAAATTCCAAACATCTTTCCCAATAGAAATAACTATCCCAGGAGAAAGAAAATTCAACAATTTAGGAAGGATATTAAGAATATTAAGAATTAAGTTGAAACTTTCGTTTCCAGAGTCAAATAAAATTCCCAGCAGAACGTTGATCCTCTGGGATTTGGGATTCCTTCATAACATCCATGCAGAACCTGTTTTAGTTTCTTCTTCTTTTTTTTTTTAATTTCATTCTGCCAGCTAGAGTCTTTGTTTCTCATTTTAAACATATTAGTTTTTCTATTTGGAAACTACCATCAGTCTCCATACAAGATAGATTTTAAAAGTGCAAATGGAGTAGGAGCTGGACTTTGACATTGTAGCTTGCTTGTTTTGTTAATTTGGACCCAGTAACTTGTTGGGAAACAATTCTCCTTTCTTGATTTCTCATAGATGTTTTTTAACTTAAAAGTCCTTCTATTATAATTACTACACATGAAAGTTAATTGATTGATGTCAGATAACCCCCAAAGCAGCCAGCCACCAGTATTCTAAATTATCTTTAGTATTGCTATTCCTTGAAACAACTTAAAAATGGGCATTTTGTAATACCAAAATACTCATTAATATAATGAATAGGACTCCCAGAAGGTAAATAGCTGTGTTTAGGTTTTTCATTACCCAGTGAAGAAAATCAAAGTCAAACATGCGTTGAAGAGTACTGCTATCTAGAGTTTTTAGATTTTTAGAGCCAAAAATCTGTTGTATAACGCTATTTTTCATATTCTCTGAATTAAAAAAAAACAAACTAGAAAAGAACACTATAAAATGTCAAAAGTTATGTGCATTCTCTGAGTCACAATTTCCTTATAAACGGCAAGCAGCTCTGGTCTCACAAATACCTTATCCTGTCACGAGAGTTCCAAGAACTACCATAATGGCCTTTACTGGTCAACCTGTGCCCCAATTTTTCAACTTATAGTCAGCCAGGGTACTTTGAAAGTAGAATTATTTTCATAGCTGCTAAAATATTTCTTTTAAAATTCAATATTCATCCCTTTGCTTCTTTCCAACAAACCAGACTTTTGCTTGTGAATATTCCAAATTACTAAGTGTAATTTAGTATATTTTACTAAGTCTCCTTGAATATTAACGTAAACTTTCTTGATT